ATCATCATCTTTGTCCATCTTTCGAAGATGGCTCTTGGTGCCCCGGATGGTAGGGCCACCACATGAGAACCCGCCTGCTATAGTGTAGACCGGCTCCTTGTCGGTATCCGAACTACTAGCAGGCTGGTGGGTAGTCTTGGGGGACTGACCCTTGTTTTTCTTTTTTGCCCCGGCTGGGGACTTAGAAATATAGGACTTCAGCATCCCCTTGTCAGCCAGACGGTCCAACGTCCGTTGAAGGCTGAAGCAGTCGTTGGTGTCATGGCCAACTTTCTCATGGTATTGACAAAATTTATTTTTGTTCCTGGATTGAATGGAACTTTTCATTGGATTCGGCTTCTCTAGGGACAGCCGGTCCTTTATCTCCATGAGGATGGAGTTGCAGTCCTTGTTAAACTCGTACTTTGGGACGTACGGTTTAAATTCTTTCTTCTTCTTCTGGGACGGCTGGTCAGAGTCACTAACCGCCCAGACCTCTTTTCTCTTCTTGCTCTCCTCTTTCTTTTTGGCCGGCTGAGCGGGCCGGTTGTCTTTCTTCTTGTCAGACTTCTTAGAGTCCGGCTGGCCTCCAGGCGAGCAGAGGTCGGTAGCTTGAATGTAGCTTTCCGCCTCCCTCAGGGCCGCCTGCAGGGTGAAAGCCCCTTTTCTGACTAGGTCGAACTTAAAGGTCGACCCGTCTCTCAGACCTTTGAAAAAGTCTGTAAAAGCTACCTCATCAGACAGCCCCTGAATCTGAATTCTAATCAGGTTGAACCGCCAAACATATGAGCGCAGCCCTTCTCTCTCTCCCTAGTTAACAGTGCTCAAATCAAGGCTTGTTTTCTTAGTAGGGATGTTCATTGAGAAGTTAGAAGCAAACAGGAAAGCAAGCTTCCTAAAGCTATCGATGGACCCGGCTGGAAGATTGCCAAACCATTGTTGGGAAACGCCCTTCAATGTAGCCGGGAAGCATCGACACCAAGTGGCATCATCTAACCCCTGCAGATACATGAGATTGGTGTAAGCCATGAGGTGGTCTTCTGGATTGGTGGTACCATCATAGGTACCAACCAACACGTTCTTAACCTTGGCCGTCTGAGCCGCCTCGGTTATCTCCCGGGTGAACGCAGAAGGCTGTTCACCCAGGCGTAGCAGACGAAGCTGCCAGTCCAATGGCTGGACATTTGGATATGCCGCCTGACCCCCAAAGAAGGCCGGCTGCATGAAGTGAGGGGAATACTGTCCGTAAGCCTGAGTAGGCACATACGGGACAACTCTAATCATATGAGGACCAGAATGGACGGTATTACCGCCTGTCTGACTCTCATGCAAGGAAGATGCATTCCCGGCAGAGGTATTGTTGAAGCTGTCTGGAAAGTTCGACGTTGAAGCCGACTCAGACAGCGACTGATTTCTCTTCCGGTTAATGATCTCCCGGGCATCAAGAGTTGATTTTTTACTTCTCACCGGCTGCTTAGTCCGGCGAGTGTTGTTGGTATTCTTCTCAGGAAGGAGAATTCTTGACCAATCAATGGTCCCGGCTGTCTTCTCCTTTGGATGAGGAGTGGGCTGCCGGTTTTTGACTGCCTTCCCCTTCTTTGGAGGAGTCTTCTTCGCCGACTGACCTTTACTTGGGCCAGCGCGGCTTTTTGTGATCAGCTCTTTAATTTCACCCTTGAAACTTGTCATGAATCTCATGAGTTCGTCTCGAGTGACAGGGGCTGATCCAGCTGCCGTTTGGGTTTCCCCTTCCGGCTGCCCGCCTAGGAGGCACCCCGCTCCAGAGTCTCTCTGGGCCGGATGCGCTTGATTCTGAGAGAGTCGTCTTCGGCTGTAAAGGTTTTAACCTGAGGATCTTCATCCTCCTGGTCTGTAAAAACGTCTGGGTCATCGCCCAGACGGTTAGAGGGTGGTACAGATTCTTGAACCATCTTTGAGGTACTCTCCCCATAGACGGCGCCAAATGTTTTGGGTGTTTTTGTCCCTTGGGAAAGTTACAACACGAAGACTGATCCGCAGTGAGCTGTACCTGCAAAACAAACGGAGACACCGGTTGGGTGATGCTCCGCCTCTGATGCACAAGTTAGTAACTTAAAACGGAATAGAGAGAACGGAAATTTAGGTGGGTATCTGCTCGGATTCCAAGCTCAGGTCTTTCTCTGATGTAAGAGAATAAGTGTGTAATAAATGATTCAATTTGTCCCCAAAATGGGGAAACATCTCCCTATTTATAGGGTCGTTGGGAAAAGTGCCCCTACCTAGGTCACTTGACCTAGATTTTAGTGGGCTGCGCCATTTTACGGCGCTCCTAGGAATTTGGGCCATTGAAAGCCGCCATTTAAAAAACATATCTGAGGGCGCCAAGTGTCAAGAGGACGTTGAGCCACATGGGCCATCCTGAGCTCGACACGTGGCAACCTCTCATTGGTCCATGTGTCAAGAGGATGTTGAGCCATATGGGCCATCCTGAGCTAGACACGTGGCGAACTCTCATTCGTCCACGTGTCTTGGGTAAAAATACCCTAACTAAAAAGTGTTCATCAACGGGTTTGGTTTTGGGGAGACATTTTTAGGTGTCTACAAGTCTCTTGTTGCTTGACTGAAGTTTATCTCCTTTAAAAACTTTGTAAGTTCTTTGTTCCATTGTCGTGAGGCCTGTTTGAGCCCATACAAGCTCCTTTTGAGCTTGCATACCTTTCCTGCAGGTGCCTTTGTATAACCTTGAGGGGGCTTCAAGTAGATCTCTTCATCAATAAAGCCATGCAAGAATGCGTTATTGAAGTCAAGTTGGTGAAGTTTCCAGTTTTGAATTGTAGCAAGAGCAATGAGAATCCTCACACTAGAAAATTTTGCCACTGGAGAGAAAGTGTGTTTATAATCCTTTCCCTTCAGTTGCTTGTCTCCTCGAGCTACTAATCTTGCTTTCAGTTTCACCACCTTCCCATTTCTATCATATTTGACCTTATAGACCCATTTTGAATCTAAGGTCCTTTTATCAGATGGCAACTCTGTGAATTCCCAAGTTTTGTTCTTTTCCAGGGTAGTCAGCTCTTCTTGCATTGCTTCTGTCCAACCTTTGCTTAAAGAAGCTTGAGAGTACCCATTTGGTTCTGAAATCTTCATCACATTATTGAAAGAAGCTATGTAATCACTGTCATAGAATTCTTTCTCATTAAGCTTGTGAACATTAAAAGAAGGGGATTGATCATTATGATCAACTGAATTACTTGGTGGAAGATCCACCTGAAAAATTTTAAATCTGTTAGGAATTCTTCTATCTCTGGTTGACTTTCTAGTTACAGGACGGAGTTGAATATTCTGTCTCCTGCACCTCTCCCTCTAAATTGTCTTCAAGTTCTGCTTGCTGTTCTGCTTCGACAGCATCAGTTTCATCATCATCATGAGCAGTATTTTCTTCAGGCCTCTCATCATCAACTCCTTCTTCACCTTCAAGATCAACTTGAATATCTTGATTAACCAAAGGAATGCTGTTGTATTTTCCTTTGTTCTCAAATTCTGTTCCTTTCAAATGCAATAAAGGAAATATCTCCTCCTTGAATTTCACATGAATACTAGTAAACACCTTTCTTTTCTCAAGATCATAGAGTTTATATCCCTTTTGTCCTAAGGGATATCCCAATAAAGTGCATCTAATTCCTCTTTCTGCAAATTTATCCAGATTCTTTCTAGCTTCACTGGCATAACAAAGACAACCTATGATTCTTAGGTGTCTATAATCTGGTTTCTTCTTCATCAGCCTTTCAAAGGGTGTCTTCCACCCTATTACATCACTTGGTAAGAGGTTTATTAGATGAATTGCTGCAAGAATACACTCCCACCCAGAACCTCTTAGGAAGCCCTGCATGTATCCTTAAGGCTCTTGCAGTTTCCACAAGATACCTATGCTTCCTTTCTACACGGCCATTTTACTGAGGAACACCAGCAATGCTTGTTTGGTGTGCTATTCCTTTTTTTGCAAACATTTTGTTGCGTTCAGTTTGAACAATCTCAGTTCCATTGTCTGGCCTGATGGTCTTGACTCTGAGACCAGTGCGTGCAAGAAAATATTATATTACATCTCTTACAACTTCCTTATTTTTCAACAAGTGCACCCAAGTGGCTCTACTATAATCATCCACTATAGTTAAAAAATAAGTTGAACCATCCACATTAGGAGTTCTATATGGACCCCTTAAGTCAATGTGTACCAAATCAAAAATTTTAAGAGTTATACTATTGCTAGTAGGCAAAGGAACTTTATGATGTTTTGAGACAGAACAGGTATCACAACAAAAAAAAATTAACTAACTTGCAATTACAAAAATCCAGATGTTTCATTTTAGACAAAGAACCATGACCAAGTCTAGCATGCATAATGTCTAAAGAAACGGTGTTATTACAACTCACAATCTCAGAATTATTTACCAAGCTTGCTGTTAAGACAGTCTTGCTGGTTGTTTCTTAGCTTGATGTTGCTTCTCTTTCCTCAAAGTGAACTTGTATAGATCATTTGTTACCCTCCCAAAGGCCAAGCTCTCTCCATTAGTAGGGTCCTGAAACACACACCCATCTTGATCAAAAATAATTTTGATGTTACTGGAATTGATTATCTTACAAAGAGATAACAAATTGTTCTTGAACTCTGGGAGGTACAGAACATCATGTAGCACAATCCTTGATCCCAAATTCACAGTTCCTATCTGCAGAACCTTTTTGATTGTTCCATCAGGAAGAACAACCTTTACTGGTTTTGTTAGACTCCTTAAACAACTAAAGAGTTTTTTGTTTCCAGCCATGTGATCTGAAGCCCCAGAATCAATAACCCAAGAGTTGCAGTCAAAATTTTCATGGAAACTAGCAACATTTGAAAAGGAAATTATACTTGCAAATCCTGCAAAATTGCTTGAGGCATTTCCCTTTCCTTGACTGCTTCCTGCTCCTTGCTTTTCGTGGAAAGCTCCCAAGACTTCCTTGACCACAGCAGATATCATCCCTGCATCTGGCTTACTGTTTCCACTGTTTCATGCCTCATATTCTTCCTCATCTAGAGGAGAATCAATTTCTTCTTCCACCTTGCCCACATTAGCAGCATGTCTCTTTCCTTTATACCACTTAGGATAGCCATAGATCTCAAAACAGCCTGATCTATCATGACCTTTCTTCTTACAGAAATCACAAGTCACATCAGATTTTGACTTTTTGATTTTCCTTCTTTGGTTTACACCTTCTGTTTTCTTTCCAGTTTCAAATCCTTTGATTTCTTTATGAACGTGGAAAGCTGATGATTCAGTCAGTTCTTGCATTTCACTACTGACCCTTTTCTGCTTTTTTGTTTGCTGCACCAGATGAAACACTTTGTTGACACTAGGTAGAGGATCCATACTAAGAATGTTCTTCTAACATTCTGATATCCTCTGTACAATCCCATTAGAAACTGTATCACCCTATTTGTCTCGATCATTCCCAACATCTTCTTGTACATACTGCATGTACACTTAGCCACTATACCACATCTACATTCTGGTACAGCTTCAATGTTGTATATTTCATCCCAGAATTTTTTCAGCTTGCAATAGTAGTCTCCCACAGACATCTCACCTTGTTCAAGCTTCCCTAAATCCTTCTTAAGTTGATACAAGAGAGGTATGTTACTCTCAGAGTATCTCTCAACAAGCTCATCCCACAGTGGCTTGGAGGTTTGTACAAGGCTTAATCCTCCAGCAACTTGGTTTGTCATGGATCTGAAGATCCAACACCTCACCATATAATCATTTCTCTCCCATCTGTTATAGTCTTTGTGACCAACTACAGGCTTTGGAACCTTTCCTTCAATGAATCCCTTCTTGTTCTTAGCTCCTAAGGCTAGCTTCACATTCCTACTCCATATCATAAAATTACTTCCATCAAACAACATTGGCGTTAAAGAAGCAGCATGATTATCAGAATGTGATAGAAACAAAGGGTCCTGATAGTTCATCTGAGCATCAAGAACTTCATTATCAAGCATTGTGAAAGAAAGAAAGCAGAGAAAACAGAGGGAAAAAAATAAAAATTTAAACTTTCAGGATGATTAAACCTGGAAGCTCTGATACCATGTAGAAATCTGAGTTATTTACTCAGATTTCACGATTTTGTGATGATTTGAATGTGTATTTTCCTTTCTCTTACAAGCAACAGATGGAGAATATTTTCTCTGTATTTACTGCAAAAGCGGCGCTCAAATCCCTTAGGGATTGGCAAACCTAAAAGATACAATATATACAAGAAGCAAGCTACTAACAAACTTACACCTAAGGCTGCAGAAAAGACAAGAGAACAACCAAGAACAACTGTACAAGGAAGATAAACATAATGTACAAAAAAGCCTATAAATACAAAATAAATACAATGTTACGCCTGGAGACTAGGAGTTCTCTTCAGAAAGTGGTTAAAAAGACAGCATTTCAGAGTGTGATGGTGGCTAAACTGAACCTTGTAATTTCTAATTTGACACTCCTTGAAGTATCACTCTTTTTTCGTGCTAGTTAGAGATACATGGGTTGCAGTCAAATGTGCACTGTTTAGATTATTTGTGAGGTGGTCTGTTTGATTTTATTGTGCCCTGTTATACCATGGGCTTTTTGCTATTTGATTTCTTTTTGTTGTTTATTGTGAAGTTAGCTTTTGTTTTACCTTGGTGTTGTTTATTTGGAATCTTGTTTAATATTGGGTGAAAGAGTTTTGATCATTAGGATGAGGAATGTCTAATATTGAAATACTAGTTACTATGATGATGATTCCATGACCAAAGGTCCAAAGTACCAAAATTTGCCTGTTTACAAGGCCATTGTAAGCCAGATTTATGTTGATCATAGTGTATGAGCTTCTGATTCTGCGAGGTACTTTTAACATAGTTTGTACTTTTGCATTAAAATATTCAATTCTGAATTCTTAGAATTGTAGAACCATTAATCTTATTTTTTGTATTTTTTTCCAACAGAAATTGTTATATGCTTTTTTTTAGTAAGATATTTGCCATTATAAACTAAGAATTTAAGATGGTAAGCCTTTTGCCCATTAATTGTTTACGTTGTCCTAAAAAAAGGGGGAAACAAAGGTGGAACATGGAGACTTTTCATCTCCACTAGCTTTTCCAGATATATAGGCTAAGGAAGCTGGTCTCCTCTACTTCATGTGTTCCTATACACAGGCCCGTTTCTGAGATTTTGGTGGCCTAGGGGCGGATTAAAAAAAATGGGGCCCTTGTGAACTAACAACTAAATTGACTAAGAGAAAATTTTGAGTATGCACAAATTTTTTTTACTAAAGGCTTTAATATTTCAGAACTTCTCAGATATCGTAGAATGAGAGACACCTCGACACCTACAATATAATATTGATAGTACAAATTAAAAAAATACAATTGAATAAATTATTAAAAGTTTATCATTTCACATACTGATAATTTTTAACTAAAAATTAATCAATTATCATTCTACATTTCTACACTTCGACATACTGATAATTCATAATTAAAAATTCAATTAATTTATCAATTTGACATATTGAAAATTTGATAATTCATAATCAATTAATTATTAATCATTAATAAAATATGAAATATCATAATTCAAACAAAATTAGAAATTAGAATGAACTGGGAAAAATATAAATTTGACATGCTATTCATATTAAAATTCGTATGACATAAAATTAATATGAGTATTTCAGAACATCTCTAGTAAAATCAAATAATCTATACATTAAAATAAATTAATCAATTGTAATTTCTGGGAAAAAAAATTAATGTACATAACTTACCAATGACTTAATAGTAGGCTCGTACCGTTTCTGAGTTCATCTTCGAACATCGAAGCCAAAATCCATAATAATGGTGAAAAATTAATAGAAACAAATAGAAAAAATTGATTAAGTAGATTGATATGTGAAGAACAATTGAAAGAGTATAATTTATAGGAAAATTCATAAATTTTAATCCCGTTAAAAATTGATTGCAAAGAAGAATGTTTATGGGGAAATCATCATTTTAGCATTAATTTGGGAAGGAAGATGAAAAATAAAAAAAAAATATAGGTAATGATAAAAATAATTGATTTCATGGATGAAAATAGAAGATTATACGGATGAATTGGTTAGATTATGGGATTAATTTGTCAAATTTAACTTCCCAAAGTGAAGGAGTTAATTTTAACGAAGAATATTAATGATTTAATGTGAGGAGTTATTAAGGGAATGCTTAACTAACTTACAAAGAAACGCTGCTTACTTCGTTATTCGTAATATTATAATTTTAAATTAATTTTTTTTTCTTTTTTTTACACAAATTTGATTTTCAGATTTTGGAGCCCTAGGCGGGTGCCCCCAGATACGGCCCTGCCTATACATGATGAGAGCTGACTATTTAGTTTGCCCCTTTGTATCTCCCCTCTTCCTGTTGTATGACCTGATAATACCTTCCTTTTGTATATAAAAATACGTCTATTTATAGTTGGGTTTGGTGTTTTATATTTTCTCTTTTTTATTTTATACTTAGTTTATGTTATTTGTAATCAGTTTATTTTACAAGAGTTATTCGTAATCAATTTAACGATATATAACAAAACATCTTATATTTGTCTTCACTTTTATAAGTGCTTCATTTGACTTTTGCATTGCTCATCACTTTGACTGGTCTTTGTATATAAAATAAGCAGTTATGGAGTATGTGAGTACTTAATAGAAGCTTATCAATTTAACTTCTATTTTCTCAAATAAAAGAAGTGACTTATTTTTTTTTTAAAAAAAGGGAGAGTGGTTTATTAGTAATCTTTTTGTACATAATTAATTAGTAATCTTTTTATACATAACTAGTGTGTATCCCGAGCGATGCCTCGAATTGATAATTTGTGTACTTCTTGCTTTAATTTAACAATTATGTTGGACTATTTGTGTAGTTAGTGTATGTAGTGGTTCGGACATTGCCTTGGATGTCACCTTTTTTTTTTTTTTTTTTTACATCATATGTATTTATATTTTAATCTTGTGAAAAATAAATGAATTATGTTACCTCTAATTTACTTAATAAATAAAAGGAACATTATAATATTATGTGAAACTTGAAATATTAATAATAATTGGTTGAGATGGTAAAAGTATTACGTATATATAAAAGCATATCTATACTTATATATTAAAAAGCGTTCAGAGGAATAAAATCAACATTTCTCAAATAATAGAGTATTGCTTTCTATATACTCTTTATTACTTCCTCCGTTTTCTTTTACTTGCAACACTTCCCTAAAATGGAAATGTCACAATACTTGCAACACACTATAAAAAGAAAGTTAATTTAGGGAAAAACTATACTATTTCCTTTATTTAAAGCACATGGCCCACCAAATTACACTCCTAACAACCACTCATCCTATTTTAAAGTTTATTATATATGTAAACCCCACATTTCTTAATTATTGCGCTAAAGGGTGTGTTGCATCTAAAAGAGGACGAAGGAAGTAATTAGCTTACGTTGCGCATACATGTTGGATGATGACATGGCATTGTGACATAGGCACACATACTTTAAAGAGTGCCACGTGGCACCGTTCCTTTAAAAGAAACGTCTTTTAATATATAGTATAGATCTATTAGTAATCTTTTATACAATTTAAGACTAAGTTAACCACAACCCTTCAAAAACCCAATTCTCAAATCTTATGCAATTTAGGTTTTTTTTTTATTTTTTTTAAAACCACTAAATAAATAATTTTCATTTTATTTATTATTTTTTTATTAACTTCCATGTCTCCCGATTGTTTTCTTTCTAAACATACATACTATGTATATACTGTGCATTAGCACGAATACACTCTAATATCAGTAATTACTAAACCAGACTTGTATACTCACGTTCACACTCACAAAGCTTGAACTAATACTCTTTTGGGTGGGTGCATGGGATCATAGGTCACCAAAAGATTCAAAATTAAAGCTCAACGGTAAGTAAGTTTGAAAAGTACATTTCCATATTTCAAACAAAAGCGCTCTAATTAAATCTTCATTCTCATATCCATTTTTCAACTAAAAGAAAACACAACTCACAACAATAAGAAATCTCATTTTAATGAAGTTGAAGAAAGCAATGAAGAAGCTCAAATTCTGGTCAAGCAAGAAGACAAAGAAAAAGGATAGTTATTACGATTATTACCACAAACTACCTCCACAATATGACTTCTACCCATACATTTATCATTCTCCTCCTCCTCCTCAATCACCACTACCGTCAACGCCGATGCCGCCGCCACCACCTCCAGAAGGCTGTGAATGCCATTTCTGCTATCCTGCTGTGCCCTCGGCGCCACCCTTACCTTCATGGCTCGAACCACAGCTACAAGAGGGTTTTAATTCTTCATCTGATGATGATTATTCCAACTCGTTTTCAAACTCCACCAAAATCCATGATCATTGTATTGCTACATCCGAAGAGATAATGGTGATTACTACGCGTACTACTGATACTGATACAAATACTAGTGATGGTATCTTAGAAGATCGAGATAAGAATGAAATTATCGATTCCGGTAGCTCAGAATTACAGCAGTTATCGTTGAGAAGCGAAAAGGATGGTGTAGTAGGATTGTTTGGATGTATAGTGGATGTGAGTGCTTTACTCTTTCGCTGCTTCATTCCCTGCTTAAACATTTCTCAGCGTCAAAGTGCTGCTCCAATATTGATGGCTTCCCCTGATGTTAGGGATAGTACTATAGTAGAAATTAATGCATGTTTCATAATTTAAAACTTAAAATGTATTACCAATTTAAGGTTTTTTTTTTTTTTTTTTTTTTGGGGATAAGTTCATATCCATTATTTTAATGTCGTATTATAATAAAACTACTTGTATAAAAATTTTAAAATCTACGCATTGAAATAAATCTCTAAGATTTTATCTATGTAATATCTTAAATTTTATCATTCTTTAATACCCGTATTGATTTTATTATCAATTAAAAATAAATAAATAAATAAATAAAACTTTATTTTAAAAAACTGCTCCATAAAAGTACTTTGATTCTAGTCAAGTTTCCTGTTGTAAGGCTCTCATATAACGGATATTTTGACCATTTTAAAGTCTTCTCTCCTCAATTTGTTTCCCTTTAACTTAATCCCATTGGTTTATTTACTTATTTACTTCCAAAACTAATGCCCTTGGTTGATATTCCAAATTGGATAATTTGGATATTTTTTATTTTTTATTTATTTATTTTAATCTTAAACTCTAAAAAGAGTAAGTACTAAATGTTTTTAAAAAAGATCTTGATAAAGAACGCTCTCGGGGCGTTGGATAAGCATTTAAATTAATACTTAAAGTGATACTCCCTCTGTCCCTAATTGTTTGCTCCACTTTCCTTTTTAAGGTGTCTCCAAAAGATTGCTCCATACTACTTTTGTCATATTTTCCCACTTGCACTCTCTCTATCTCTCTCCTCGTTGATATTTGTGTCAACCCATGTGCACCATTTTTTGCCCAAAGCCTTAATGAAGTGGATTTATGGTTTGGGGCAAACAATTGGGGACGGAGGGAGTATCAATTTGGGAAATATGACAAAATCACGCGTCAATCATTTTAATTAATGCTAATTTTGAATTTAATCTTTCTACTTTTAACTAAGTTATCCAAAAAAAAACTAATCCAACACTTCCATGTCGTTCGTTCGCTTTTGCCTTTTACTCCCTTCGTTTTTAAGTACTTGCTCCATTTCTATTTTTTGCACTATTCATTTGTCCTACTTTGACTAATGTTTGTGATTTGTACATAAGAAAAAATATAGTGTTGTGGGTGTTGGAAATAAGATGTTGTAACCATGAAAATAATAAAGAAATTAGGGCAAAAATACAATACTCCATTGTAGATCTCACAAAAGTTGTGACGCGTTTTACGGCTGCCCTAGAAGCGTATTTCGCCACCACCGGTACGAGGCTCTCAGTGACGAATGCTCCCCAAGGGTAACACAGCTACCTTCCAACTCCGTACCCCGATTGGAAGGTTGGAATTACATAAAGAACTGCACAGATCTCGATAGGAATGGCTTGTGTTTATTGTGTTTAGGGTTTCACAATACTATGTGTTTTTCTGCCTCTGAAAAAATAATAGCTCAAGGGTATTTATAGGTTATGAAAAGGAATCAAGAATAAGGAAACAAAACCCGGCCAAAACGCGGTTCCCGAAGCTTTGCAAGGTCCGCCCGGTCTGCCAGGGCGAGTCCGCCCTACGACCGAGCGCGACAAGCACAGCTCAAGAACCCGATTTTAGGCTTTGCCCGGTCTGCCCGGGCAAGTCAGCCCAACCGGGCGCGCGGGGTAAAAATTGATACGGAGAAGTTCGAAGCTTTGCCCTGGCTGCCAGGGCAATGTCGCCCTGGCAGGGCAAGTGGGATACGAAGGTACGGAGTTAACTAGTTTGATGAATAGCCTGCTTCTCTTCGCCCCACCCCCCAGGGCAATTCCGCCCTGCTAGTGCAAGCAAGAAAAGAAACTTATCATTAAACATAGCTTAATACAATCGACTCTTTCGACTTGCATTACTCCCAACAATCCCCCACAAATGCAATCGAACATGATATCTAGAAAACTGAGCAGTAAATGAAAGGCTAAGTGCATAAGTGAAATAACCCATAAGGATTGAACTAACACATTAGTGGAGCGGGGTGTTCAACATTCTATAGAGTATAAATTTAACTCCTAAGACAATTGAAAGAACCCGACACCACACACTTTACCTTTAGAAGCTTGAAATAATTCCGCGTCCGCATGAAACGTCATACGAGGCCAACTTTCCCTTGGATTTCTAGTGACTGTTGTTAGTAACCTACATATATTCCATAGGAGGATGCCAACCCTACTCACTAACATAGGTGCCCCATCTAGTCTATATGCCCCATAGACCACCCAAAAGGGATATGAAACATTAAGGATAACGTCCAACCTATCCATTGGTGTATCCATCAAGTCCGATTATTTGGACCACTTATAGAAGCTATAGATACATCAAAACACTGATGTTTGATCTCATAATCAAACACATAGGCACATCTATCTAGGCTTCCTATAGTTCAACCCCTTCTCGGATGACTATAAGGCTAGATGCATTCAACATGAAGCTCAACTTCACAACGATGGTGAATCTATCAAGTTCTCTCATAGAACCACCCAATACGGGCTATAGATTCATCATGAACAATAACGTTCATCTGATAGATAAATATTGGCGATACGTCTATCAAGTCCTTCACAATAGGACCACCCAATTCGGGCTATAGACATATTAAGAGCATAAGCTCATCCTCACAACTAATTGCCATGGGAATGACATACCAGGAGAATTTTTAGTTCATTCCCTTCGACAAACTCTTACCAAGTCATACTTTATTCCTTATTTAAGGAATTGTATGGTTCTTCTCTAGCTTTACATTCTCCAACCAGAGTACCATTTCCACAAGCCATGTCTTACTTTGTCACTACCTCCATAGTTCCTGACAACACACACAATGACACTTGTGAAAAATAATGTAGAGAACATGAGGATCAACTTACCCCCACAATGGTCCAAATTCCAGAGTTCATTTTGCAATAACTCATATTCTTGACACTTATCATCCCTAGCAATGATCCTTGCTTCCAACTGGATAGTGTATCACACTTTTGCTTTGCAAATAACTCAAAATAAACAACCCATAAACATGTAAAAATATACACTGATAGGGCAATCACATTTTTTGTTGTTTTACTTAACCTTTATCCCCTGCATTGCCCCAACTTTAACAACGATTGGACGATGTTGTCTAGATAAATTAAGTGAACCAACAAATTTCTTTTTGCAAAGCTACATCATGTCAAGAATAATATGTTACATCAATTAACTTGCAAATCATTAGCATATTGAAATAAACATCAAGGGCAATCTATACCCAACAACTCTGGTTTCAACATGACCAATATATTAACCAAATCAAATTCTCAACAGAGTGAGAATAAGCTCAATACATACCTTGGCCGATTCAATGATCTTACCATCTAGAATTACACCATTCTGCTCATCATCTCGTACTTTCATCTTGGCATAGATAAAAATTAAGACCTTAAATCTCAATCAATCAGTACATGTGTAATCAACAACATACGATTAGACTAGCATTTGACTAACATCAATGCTCATCATAATAAACACACATGTAGTACATCATTGCATTCGCATGCCAAGAATGAAAAACATTTGACATAGTTTGGATACTTACATTTGACCCCCACATGACTTGTCTAGTCCACTCACCACATTAACCGCAAAAGTTAATTTAATATATGAAGGTTATGCCTCATACCTTGAGTTGTCTCATGTAATTGCATCACTAACAAACACCATGATTTCTAATCAATCATGTTAGGAAGCATACGCAACCTGACTGCAAAAGTGACAAGCTCATAATACAAGTGAGTAATAAATTGGGTCAATACCAAACTTACATGTATATCGTGAAAACACAATATCTTACCCTCAATCCTTTCCAAGGTATACCAAAACCTTACAAGTTTCCCTTGAAAGGCACTTACAACCGAAGGACATTCCATGGTAAGGTAAGACATATAAATCTCAAGCATAAGACTCCAGAAGAGCTTGATTTTATGTTCACATATTTCTTCTCTTCAAACTAGTTCAAGTAACACTTATCATGGTATGTTCATATGGTTTCGGATTCCTATCCACCATTACTGAAATACCAAGAAACAATCCATCTAAACCTTTCAAACATGAAAGTAAACACAAGACGGAACTCAACTAGTTCATGCTTTAGCCATAAGACTTACCTTAGTTGATCCACTCATCAACTACATTGTTCAGACCAAAGCTTAAGAAACAAAGGAAACACCCACATGATCAACAAGGTTAATACATGATATAAATCGTACTTGAGAAACTTCATATACGTGATTCGTCATATCAAAGTCATCTAGACTTAAACACCTATCTCATAGTTCAACATACATTAAACTTGTGAACTAGAATAAGTAAAGCAGCAGAGATCTCATTACTTCCATAATTTCCAGTATGTTCTGCTTTAATTGATTTTCATATATCATTAGCATAACTCAATATAGACCACACATTAGGTCCTTTAAATTAATAACATAAAGGTTTATGCTAAGGAAACACACATTCCACATGAATGAATTAAGAAAAGATCACTCACATGAGTGAATAAATAAACAATATTAGATTCAGCATGTTTAATAATCACAACATCGCAGAGTCTCAAATATAAACTGCGAAGCACTATAAGGAACATCTCACCTTCCATAAACACCCCCACACAACAAGCATTTAGGTTATCTCATATATAACCAATCTGATAATCAAGAGGGGGGCTAAAACACATTTTGTGAGACAAACCATTAGCCAACAAAGAGAGTTGAAAACAAGAAATTGCTACCTCCATATAAATTTCAATAACCAAACATTGAAACACTAGCAATTTAAATGGCCTCTCCAAACAATAGGATCATACCTTCAATTATTTCATTGTGGATTTCTTCTCTGAAAAACAACTTTGACCAACCTAACTCTTTTAGGCTTTGGTGGAGGTAACACTTTTACTTCTGCTATATATAAACTTAGGAGATATAAACAATTGTCTCACTTAGACCACAAAAGAAGTTATGCTTCATGCAAACATCAACAAGTAGAATAGCAACACATTCACAATTCTACTCAATCTCCAAGTCTAACAATTTAACTAAGTACTCATGAATTAAATCATATAATCCAAATGCCCTTCAAGTCACATACTCACAATTAGTTAAATTAAACAATCATAATATCCATTTTTCACTAGATTAGGGATAACAATAACACTCAAGAATAATCGAGAGTCACACAAACAAGTCCTAATCAATCAATGCACCTAATCGGTGGATAATATACAACATAATAAGCAGAAGTAAGTAACTCACAACTTGACAAATTAACTA